AGTTCTACCAGTTCTTCCCACATGGACACTGTAGCAAGTAGATCACACACTTGGAGTTACAATTTATATTAGATTTAACCTTAAATTTCTCTTTAGTGATTGTACTTGTAAATTCTTTCCTTTGTATATATCTTTGGTTTTTACAAGCCTTACATGAGTTACAGGGATTAAATCCTTTGATATTCGAAAGAGTACCTTTTTTTATTAATTTTTAATGCATAGCTTGGAGCTAATATGTTTTTTAAATTTTTAGTTTTTTTAAAAAATTATTGGTGCTTTTTTTGGAAGTATTTTTCCTAATATAGGTTCTTTACATAAAATATCCCAATGCCTATTTAAAATCTTTTTTATATTCCAATGCTGTGTATTATATTGTGTGATAAACGAAAATTGATAATCTTTTGTAGTAGTTGTTTTCTTTGGATTAGATTTCAAAAGATCTTTTCTATCTTTCTTTCCAATATCTTTAATTTCTTTTTCTAATAACGCTGGTCTATATTTCTTGGTTAAGAATTTATTTTTTAGATGTTTAGCCTGTTATTGGTAATCTATGTCTCTAGAACAATTTCATCTTATTCTCGTTAGTTGGCTTCTTGGGATGGTTTCTAGCCATTTTTCGTGATGACAACTTTTTCGATGTATGTAGCTGTTACCCTCAGTTTTTTTAAAATAACATTTTGATTGTTTGGTTTGATTTTCAACAAAAAAACTGACATCCAAGAAATTAATTGTAATAGGGTCAATCTCATAGGTAAATTTTAGACCATAGTCATTATTACCAATATAATTCATAAAAAGATGTAATTCCTCATATGATCCCTGCCAAATCATTATAACGTCATCGATAAAACGTTTCCATAGACAATCCAACACACAGAGTCCCGTTTCCCCTCACCTTAGACTGGTGGGCTATGATTTATTAAGCATATTCGTTGAAATCTATGCATCACTAACGTGACGTTATTTGTCACTGTAGCACATGCTTTCTTGCTGCAGTATGGATGCTGTCTCCCTTTTAGCAACACTATCCTTTGACTGCATCTGTGAGGTGTTTTTGAGGAGCAGCGGAGTAGAAAGAAACCTACTGTCTCTGCACCTAAGCTTTGTGTCCCCCACAGTTCCCCTAGCCATGCCCAGCAATTAGGGGCTATTAAACTGATGTAGTCTCATATTGAAAATAATAATGGTTGGACACAGTGTCCCTCCTAATAAAACAAATGGAGGGTGGAGCAATTGTTCCCCCAACCCTCATCAATTGGTGGCAGGTGGGAGGTCTAAATGCAGCAGAGGCCCATGACAGGGATTAGAATTTCATTTGTCTTAATGAAAATCCAAAGAGAAAAATAGACAAATTTAGTCTGAAAACTAAAGTACAAATGGACAAAATTTGGTTTGGAAAAAAACACTTTTTTTTTCATCCGCATCGGCAAAGTAAAATTTTTGGCAGCTCCCAAGTGTAGTACTCAATGTAAATAGATATGCCAAGATTGTGATAAAGAAATTGTATGCCATCTTCAAAGACCATGTGGCATAAAGTTACCATGAAATTCATGAAGGGAAGATCCTGGACTTGTTCAGTATTAATGTTAACCCTCCTGTGCTTAACCTGGCGGTCCACCAATGAGCTCAAGCTCTGATTCGGCAGACTGCCGCTTCCACGCTGCCTAAGACTCCAGTCAGCCTCATGGACGCCGGTTGATGCGTGCCTGCCCCTTTTTTTTTGTCAATCTTTATCTATTGAGATGAGAGTATGGTACATATGTGCAGGGGGGAGAGGGGATGTGTGCAGTGGAGGCAAGGGGAGAGGTGATCTGTGCAGGGAGGAGGGCTTTAGGGGGGCAGGGAGAGAGGATATCTGTGAAGAGAGTGGGGCTGTCAGGGAGGCAGGGGGAGAGGGGATCCGTGCTCAGAGGGGCGCTGTCAGGGAGCTAGGTAGAGATGGCTGTGCAGGGAAGAACTTACCTGATGTCTCTGCCAGGCTGCTCTTCATCGTTACTCCGCAGGACAGGACAGGAGGCACAGGAAGTGACCTCATGACGCAAGGCTTGATTATCTTGATTACAGTATGGATCAATTCCACTGGCTGAGGGGCAATCCCAGTCTTTAAGTCCAATGCCTGCTGGTGCAGAATCCTCCACCCACAGCAGTAACAAAAATCCTACCCATCACTTACGCTATAGCGGGGAACCCTCTAAATGTAGAAGGTTTTTGAATCAGGTCAGCATCTTGTTTGAGCTTTGCCCTAGAGCTTACCCCACTGAGCAAAAATAGGCTTCATTACTATGTTGCTTACTGATAGGGCCTTTGTTGACCAAATCCACTATGGGAGAATGATAATCCCTTAGTGTATGAATATGCTGAATTTATAGCAGCTTTCAGGAGAGCTTTTGATCCACCACTGCCAGGTTGCTGTTGAGAAACAAGGTAACCGCTCCCTCATTGATTATGCCCTAGAATTTTGTTCCCTGGCGGCAGAGATATGCTTGAATAACCGTGCGTTTGTGTATGGGTTCCTCAATGGATTATCCAATACCTTATTAGATGAGGTACCCTATTAGTCTTTGGAAGAACTTGTGACTTACCCTGGTCAAATTAATGAGATGCTTAGGCACAGAGAGAATTCCAGAGAAAGACCTAGAAGACCAGCTATCAGACTAGCTCCTTCATTCCCTTCAGATGGGAAGTGGCTATCCCAGAACCCATGCAATTCGGTATGACAAGATTGTCTGAGGCAGAGCATAGAAGGAGAGAGGGATAGAGGCCATAGATGGTAGACCACTCGAAGAACCCACCATTGCTAAGGAATCTATTCCAGTTCCTATGATGGTTGGGGTTCTTCATAGGGACTTGTTGTTCTGCAAACAATTTAATCTCCTTTATTTTAGCCTTGGGTTATCCCTGGTTATATAAACATAGCCCACATATAGATTAGGAGAAAGGAGAGGTTGTCAAATGGGGTCCTTCTTGTATAGAGGGGTGTGTCACCAAAGTCAGACCCTTCAATCTCATAAACATCCTGTATCACCTCCATTATCCCCAGATGTACATGAGGTCTACCAAGACTTAAAAGAGGTCTTTGACAAAAAGAAAGCAGATAAGTTACCTCTGCACCGGTCGTAAGACTGTGCGATAGGATTGTTACCAGGGACTGTGCCACATAGAGGCATTGTTTATCCTCTCTATCTAAAAGAGAATCAGATATTGGAGGAATACATTAATTAGAACCATGCTAAGGGATTTATCAGAAGGTTCTAATCTCCTGCTGAAGCAGGATTCTTCTTTGTTTCAAAAAAGGAGGGTGATCTTGGGCCTTGTATTGACTATCAGGGGTTGAATAAGATTACTAATTACGTAATGTCTACCCTAATCCCCTGATCACAGAATATTTGAACAGTTGAAGGGCTCCAGAATCTTCACCAAATTAGACCTACGTGGTGCATATAATTTGGTGAGGATCAAAAAAGAGGATGAATGGAAGATGGCTTTTAATACAAGATATGAGCATTATGAGTAAAAGCGGATAGTTGAGTTATTGATGTGTGTAGCCGAGCTGAGCCCTTTGCTCCATGTAACATAGTGTTTTGATCTAACCTAAGCATGTGTGTTTTTTTTTTTTTGTTTAGGATCCCCGCGGCCCACTGTGCTGGCCCTAGTAGAACGGCAGCCTCCGATAACCGGATGTAGATTGCCGGATACCAATGATCGTGAACGTCTTGGTCACTTTATGTGAGCTCCAGAGCTTTAGATGAGATGAGAGAAACTTGTGGAAGGACAACCATCACTTCAACACTCCACTAATCTGATTTTTATGAAAGACTGGCCAGGCAGGAGCCTTTTTCTCACTGCAGTACTCCTGATAGTACTGGTACAGCACAAAGTTCAAGCTTGTCTCACAGTAGAATAATCAATATCCCAGGCTATTTTATATATATATTAGAAGAATCCTGCTTAGAAGTATATAGTTATTTTATTGTTCCTCTTTTTTCCTCTGTTGGTCAATTCATTTGATCTTTGAATAAAGTCAACATTTAGTGGCTGTCCACTAACCATTAATCATATTTCATATGTAAAAACATTTGTTTGTAGCAGAATGCAGCTTGTTCAGCAAACAGCTGAAAAGCAGTACAAAAATGAGTGTCTGCAGACAACAGTGAAGAAATTTGGAGGTTCCTTGCCCATTTTTGGCTCAATTTCTGCAAATGGAGTTGGGGATTTGGCAGAATTAATGGTTTCTTCAATGCTTAGAAATACAGGCAGATACTTATCATCTGATTTGCCCCAAATTTATTTTGCATCATGACAACAACAGAATCATTCAGTCAAGGTCATTAAGAACTATCTTCAGCCTACAACAAGAAAAAGGAGTCCCTGGTAAGTGATGTTATGACCCCATCAATCCCTGATCTCAATATTATTGAGTCTGTCTGAGATTACATAAAGAGATAGAAGCAACTGAGGCTGCTCAAATTAAAAGAACTGTAGTTAGTTCTCCAAAATGTTTGGAACAACCTATCTGCTGAATTACTTACTACAGTGTGTGCAGGTCTAACTAGGAATACTGATGCTGCTTTGAAGGCTAAATGTGGTCACAGTAAATATCAATTTGATTTGGATTTTTTCTGTTCATCCACTCTGTATTTTGATTTCAAAATACCTATGAACGTTTCTATTTTTGGATGCAATCTTACTCAGCAATATTTTATAACCTGCCATTTGAGAGATATATATATATATATACATATATATATATACACATATATATATACATATATATATACATACATATATATACACACACATATATATACACATATATATATATATATATATATATATATATATATATATATATATATATATATATATATATATATATATATACACACACACACACACACACATATATACATATACACATACATACACACACACACACACACACACTATATTACACTTAATCAATGGGTGCAGCAATGGCACCAATGTACGCGAACAGCTTTATGTACGTATTCGAGCAGGAGTACATCCTTACACCGTACCATGACAACATACTCTTTTACCATCGTTTTATCGATGATATTTTAATGATCTGGAAAAAAGTAGGACCAACACCAGAAGAAATGCTAGAATCTATCAATAGCTTGAACACACCGGTTCGACTTACCATGACCACCAATGATCAAACCATAGACTTTCTGAATGTACGACTTTACAAAGAACAGGATGGAGTAGCCTACACTTTGTACAGTAAGCCGACGGGTAGGAATACTATCCTACATGCAGATAGCTACCATCCGAGACACCTAAAGAACTCTTTACCACAATCCCAGTTCATGAGAGTCATCAGGAATAACTCCAACAAAGAAAATACTCAATTACAAATTAACCAAATGTGGGATAAATTCAAGGCTCGTGGATACAGTTCAACTATTTTGCAGAAAGCCTTGAATAAATGTTTTGAAACACCATCAATACAGATGCCCAAGCAGGAAAGACTGATTTTTCCAGTGACATATACTACAATATCAGACCACATTAAAGAATCCGTTAATCAGAACTGGCGCATGATGATTAATGACACCAGTCTACCGTGTCAATTCAAACAACCACCGATAATGTGTTACCGGAGAGGAAAGAATCTAAGAGACCTATTGGTCAAGACAGATCCAACACATTGTTACAACCAACTCTCATCCCACTTAAACCTGGGATGTTACAGATGTTTGGGTTGCGTAACATGCAGCCATATGCTACCAAATAAGACGTTCACTCATCCACACACTGGCAAGACGTTTACCATTAGGCACAGACTTACGTGTACCAGTGATTATGTGGTGTACAAATTGGTTTGCCCGTGCGGTTTGTCGTACGTGGGAAAAACAGACTTACCGCTAAGGGAACGTATGCGCAACCATCGGTCAAGCATAAGAATTGCATATAGAGATAAAGGCTCAGAGCAACCTGTAGCAAAACACTTTTGGGAATATAACCATCCTCTACCATCTATGAAGTTTATTGCGATTGACCACATTCCACCACCAACGAGAGGTGGAGATCGGAAGAAAGTCCTACTACAGAGGGAACTACATTGGATTAGGACTTTGGACACTGTGCAGCCTAAGGGCTTGAATGAAAAATATACGTTGGGTATTTTTCTATAAGGATGAACCTCGGCATTAAACTAATGTAGAGTTTATCTCTTTAAGCCGTTGTAAATATCTGACTTTTCTTGAATTTGTTTGGTCTTTTTCTGGTCTTTTTTTGGTCTTTTGATTTTTGTTGATTTTTTTAATGTTTTGATATCTTTGATTCTTTAGACTTTCTTTACTGAGTGTTTTGACTAATTCAATTGTATACTTGGGTTTTTTTTTTGATTATGACCTATGTATTCAGCTATAATTAGCTAGGAATTTGTACAATCTAACTCTATCACATATAGGACATAAGTATGTACCTTGGTTGCATTAAGACTTATATATGTATAGTCATTATCCTGTCACTGCATGTATGCAATCCTTTTTGACAGATGTATTGTTTAATTCTACTTCACCAATTCAGATTTAGTGGAGCTCCCCACCTATTTTTATAGTGGATAGCAAGATATCACTTCTTGATATCGCCCCTTGTCAACATTATTATACACATGCTACCTTTTGATAGGCAATATTTCCTTTCAATGAGCTTTTGTATCCACACTCCAACAAGTCACTGGTACATCTAGTCATATTTTCATTTGACAGATGTCTACAGTTATGCTTTTTTCAACTTATTATATATAATATAATTATGGATCAGCTTAAGTTGTAAACTATGCCTTGCAGGATATACCTATCAGAGAGAATATATCTAATTTGTTAACTGTATTCCCCTTTTTTAAACTACCTTCCATTTGATTTAAACTACCTTCCATTTGATTTGCTAACAGCTGTTTATGCTACAAGGTATCTTATGAAGCAATCTGACTGACTAAGCTAGAAGCCGTTCCCCACTTCTATAACCGATCTCATTACGGAGCCTGATTGCGATCGGTTAGTTGCCATAGTAACATGTAAATAAACGCCTCCGTGCGTCCTGACGGGTTCCCCAGGCAACTACCGACACGCAGGGGTTACACAGCAGCAACAGCTGCTGCACACATGTAATAGGGTTAAGATTTGCCCCCGGTTTTGTGGCGTTTAGACAGCAGCTTAGGTAAGTCTCAGCTGCATTCATTGTACTTGATTAAGTGTTCTTGCATAGCAAGACCACTTATTGTTATCTCACATATATTATTAAGTGTTCTTGCAAGAACACTTATTGTTATCTCACATATATATTATTATTAAGTGTTCATGCATAGCAAGACCACTTAATGTTATCTCACATATATATTATTATTATTCTTATTATAGCAAAATTTGCCACCCTAACTCCTCCCACAGTTTTTACACTACATAGACAAAAATTTACCAAAACGTGCAGATTGTTCCCGATCGGATTGCTATTACTTTGTGGAACGTTTCGCCGAATGGTTCACAAAATATCGTCGTTCTTGTGGCGCAATTTGTCCCATAGGAATGAATGGCAAAGCTAGAGTGGGAGCAGTCAAAAGCTGAAAAATCAGGACATGATTTCTAAACTGCCACCACTCCCTCATTTTCAGGCCCACCTACACAAATCTTATATCAAAACGTTTAGCTATCCCTGCTGCCACTAAACATGTCAACGGCTAAGCCATAGTCCTGATAGTTTTCACAATATAATCATTTGTTTGCAACTAACGCCGTCCATTGACTTTCATTGAAACTTCACTCTGCAAAGCTCAAATTTGAAGTGCAATTTCTAAACTGCGACTTTTCCTTCAATTTTAATACTTCAGAGACATACTATGCATCAAAATGTAGGTCTGGGTCTTGTGATTCTCACAATATAAAGCTCTTCGCTGTAGGAGTTATAGTTTTTAAGATACGACAGTTTGAAGATGGCAACCGCCAAAATACTCTGACCTGTGTCAGGCTGCAGCAGCAAGTGATGTCATAGACAGGGCCTTTTGAACACCTGCTAATGTTTTTATAAATGTATGGTTTAATGTAACTGTGCAACAACGTTGCAATTAAATGTGCTATATAAATGATAACAGTTACTCTGCCCACTCCAGTTGTAGACTACTGGTGGAGGCAAGAACACTTCACACAATTTCCCCAGAAATTGTAGCTTTTCTAGTTTAATATGTTATTTATTTTGTAACATTTGTTATGCACTGGTATCCTGACGAAAGCTCCATGTGTGAGCTGAAATGTTGATCACTTCTGGCAGTTGCTGAATAAAGCTAAGTTGTTTTTTTTCACCTTATATGAAGTCCCTGGAGTGCTTTTCACTATTTTCTACCTATTACTTGTGCCGACAAGCACCGGGCCATATAGATTATTTTACAGGAGTGCAAGTATTTGACAATATTATATTATATTATATTATTATATATATATATATATATATATATATATATATATATATATATATATATATATATATATATATATATATATATATATATATATATATATGTATATTTGTGGTCAGGGCATAAGCCGTAGTATAACTTATATAAATAGGACAAACCATGAAAGGAAATGTCAGTTGTGGTGTGCCGGAACTGACGAGGAAGTAGGCCTGAAATAAAAGAGGGCCTACCTTATAAAATGCTTATGAAAGCGGTGTGGTGGGTGGGACAATCCGTCGAACCTAACAGGTAGTGAGGGAAGGGTCTGGAGTCCCTTAAGAAGGGTAACCCAGCCCTTCCCACAACTTCAGGCCACGCCTTCCATTTGTGGTCAGGGCATAAGCCGTAGTATAACTTATATAAATAGGACAAACCATGAAAGGAAATGTCAGTTGTGGTGTGCCGGAACTGACGAGGAAGTAGGCCTGAAATAAAAGAGGGCAAAAGAGATAACCATTTATTCGTCCTACAACCGGACATAACAGATTACATATTCATAGTTTTGAAAGCCAGGCGTACTTCTTGTATGGGCTGAGGGATGTATCTGGTGTATGCCGTAGATTTCCATCGTCCTAGTATCTTAATAATGTGAGCAGGGATATTCTTTTTAGAAGCGGTGGTGGCGGCTCCTATTCTAAAAGAGTGACCAGAGTAGCTGGCTGGGTTCAGTCCTAACCGGACTAACAATCTCCTAATATACATCCTGAATTGGCTAGTAGGGAGCTTATTACCGTGTAAGGACAGGAGTGGTTGTGTTGGCACCATATTGTCAAAGGCAAGAAGGGTGTCGAACACCTTCACCGGGCACCAAGTATTACTTGTGGGGTAATAGGGTATAGTGACCGTTTGCCCGGGGGCGCTCGTTTTGGTATGGTGCAGTAACAGAAGATAGTGATCTTGGACCTTTATCAGATCGGACCTTGTGAGAAAAATGGGTGAATTATAGCTAGTAGTAGTGAATTCTCTGGGCCGTAAAAAAACGTAAAATGCTAAATGGATGGTGTGATAGAATTTATCTTGATTCCAAGGCTCAAGCTTATAGGTGTCATAGATTGACTTGGCAAATGCATTTTTCAGTGTCCCCCTGGCTCCCGACAGTCAGTTTTTATTTGCATTTACACATAAACACAAGCAGTACACTTGGACAGTATTGCCACAGGGTGCACAAAACTCACCCACTATGTACAGCATGGCTATGGCCCAGATTCTTGAAGAATGGCAAAGGCCAAATAACGTAATTTTATTGCAGTATATCGATGACCTACTCCTATGTTGCGATAGTATGGAATCTTGTATTGTAAACACTCTTTCCTTACTAAAATTCCTAGAAAAAGCAGGCTGTAAAGCAACAAAAACGAAACTGCAAGCATGTGTAGAGAAAGTTATTTTCCTAGGACATTGCATTTCCCAGGGCATAAAACATCTCACGGAAAGTAGAAAAACTGCAGTTCAAAATATTAGACCCCCCCGCAGTTTAGCCCAGGTTCGTACTTTCCTCGGTTTGATTTCTTACTGCCGCCCTTGGCTGCGTTCCGTAGCTATCTACATGCAACCACTGTATGATTGTCTTGCCAACGAAAACAAACCATTTAAATTAACCCATGCGGCAGAAAATGCCTTCTATACACTTAAGATACTGGTAACGTCAGCTCCGGCACTGGGTCTCCCAGATTACAGAAAGAATTTTAACCTGTTCTGTACTGAGCAATCAGGTTATGCTACATCTGTCCTTACACAGGATCATGGTGGTAAACAAAGACCAATAGCATACTACTCCACC